TTACAAAACATAGAATAAATCATAAATAAACAATTTTTGGTTTTCTAAAAAACAAATATAAAATATATAATTGATATGATAATTGTATAACAAAGTTGCATTTTTGTAATGAGAATTGTCGATTTTGTCTATATGAAAAATTAAATAAAACATTTGTTACTCTATTGAATTGTAAATGAAAGAAAAAAAATGATTAACGTTAGAATTTATATATATTACTTTTCTTCAAATATTTATATATATATATATATATATATATATATATCCTAATTCCATAAAACAATTGAATTCCTATCAAACATATACTGTATGAGAATTTAGAATTATGATAACTTTTATAATAAGGAATTTTTCAAAAATAAACATAGTGATTTTTTGATAATTCTGCACTAAAAATAAAAATGGATACAAAAATACCACTATTCAATATAAAAATTTAATTGCAAAAATAATAAGAAAAATAGATCTAGAAAGATTATTTGGTTCACTCCCCTTTCAATGTTATGGTCAAAAATAAAATTATGTATATTTATTAACCTAATCAAAAAACATTTCCCCAACCCTGAAACTAACCCACTTAGTAAAATATTTAATCCTAATACCCTTAAATTAAAATTTATATTTATTTGATAACCTAGAGCAGATAATTAAAAAAAAATATAACAACATAGTCTTTAACAAGTATAGGAATTCAAAAGGCTTGACTAATCAACAGGTTACTAACTTAAATACTAATTATAAGAATACAAATAACAACTTATGTAATTGTAGAATCCAAAATAATTGTCCACTACAAAATAACTGTGGATTACTTCTGTAGTCTATCTTGGTAATATTTCAACAATTGAAAATCCAAATATAAAGAAGTTTTACATTGGTTCTACTATGAAAAATGGTCTTCAAGGAACGCTGGCGGGGGGCATATGCAATCCTTTAATCACAGTGAATATAGGTACATGACTTCATTATCCAAGTATTTTTTTCCTAAAAGATAAGAACAAAAAACCTACGATTAAATGGAGTTTGGTTAAGAAAGCTCGTACATGTAACTCCCTATATATAATGACATGTTACCTATGCCTTAATGAAAATTTGAAATTATTAGATTTAAAAAAAAAGGCTGATCTCTTAAATCAAAGATATGAACTGACAGTAAATTGTAAACACCGTTATAAATTTAACTTAGTGTAGGGTCGTATACTTTAAATGATAATGATATGTCGCTGTATTTTTAATAGATTAGTATTTTTATTGCATGATGGTCATACTTACGATATAAATGTGTATTGTTTACCTGCATAGTGTTATTAGTGTTGGTGTAAATATATATATATTTATTTATGTGTTGGTTAGAGTATTTGCACTGAGGAATGTGTAGGTTGGTGTATAAATGTATTTATGGTTTTTTTTTTTTTTTTTTTTATATGTAGGGTATATGTGTATATATGTATGTATATATATATATGTGTGTGTGTGTATATATATATATATATATTATGTGGGAAGGTAAGGTAGATTATAAGAGAAAAGGTTAATAATTTTACTGTATATGTGTATGTGTGTGCCTATATATGTATGTGTGTATGGGTGTGTGTATATATGTATGTATTTGTTGTGTGTGTATATGTATGTATATATGTATGTATGTATATATATATATATATATATATATATATATATATATATATATATATATATATGTGTGTGTGTGTATATATATATGTATATATATATATATATATATATATATATATATATATATATGTGTATATATATATATGTGTGTGTGTGTGTATATGTATGAGTATGTAAAAATGTATGTATATGATTAAATCACGGCAGTATAATGGTTGTGCATGGTTCACTAGATTGGGTGTGACTGAGTAATGAGTTCGTTCCTCACTGGATATATTTATTTCAGCTTTGTGCCACGATATATTTGTGTATATATATATATATATGTATATGTGTGTGTGTATATATGTATATATATATATATGTGTGTATATATATATATATATATGTATATATATATGTATATCCTATTTTATTGTGTATGTGTATTTATATTTAAGTATATTTCTGTTTGTATGAATGTGTTTATATATTTGTATGTTAGACTATATGTATATTGCTGTGTGTTTGGTGTTTGAAGGTATATTTATGTATCTATATGTTAGTTCGTTTATATATGTATTTGGTTGAAAGTTGTTGTATTTTTATGTATGCATGTATATATGGGTGGTTGTTATTGCAGGTAGATATATTTATGTATATATATATTTTATTTGTAGATATGTATGTATGTGTGTATATATTTTTGTTTGTATGTTTGTGTATGTATATATATAGGTGTGTGTGTTGGAACCTATTATGTATGAGTTTGTGTGTGTATATATGTGTAGGTATGGAAACTTTGGTATATCATGACTGTTTTTATATATCTAAGTATGTGTGCATAAAAGTCTATGTGTGTATATATGTGTGTGTATTTAGGTTTATATGTATATGTACGTACATATGTACTTGTTATCATAGATATGTATATGTACGTATATGTTTATGTTTATATATTTATTTGTGTGTATTTCTGTACGTATATGTATGTATGAATATATATATATATTTTTTTTTTTTTTTTTTTATGTGTTTAATTTGTTTTTTGCTGCCGTATATATATATATATATATATATATGTATATATTTGTGGATTTCTTTTTATCCTGTTTTTTCTTTGCCAAATATATAATGAAACTATTATCAACTTATATGATTAATAATATATATATATTTTTATTGATATTTATTGTTTTAGAATTTTCGTTTTAATATATTAAATAATATTATTTTAAACATTTTTATCTTTATATATTTGCTCCTTAAGTTATAATTCAATAAGTGGTTAGCATTTATTTAAGTCTGAAATATTTACTGGTTGTGATTTCTCAATGTCTATGCCATTGTGGATGTATGTTTGTGTATATATCGGTGTCTATGTGTATGTAGAGTGTATTCACATTTAACTGTGTGTGTGTATAAGTGTTAGTTTCACGTCTCCTTTTTTTCGTAAAGGGCTGTGGAGTTGTTCATGTATTCCCCCACCTCTTCCTTTTTTTTTTTTTTTTTGTGTGTGTGTGTGTGTGTGTGTGTGTGTGTGTGTGTGTGTGTGTGTGTATCTAATTATGTCTGGATGCTTATGTATTATAATCTGATTGTGTTTTTGTTGTGTCACGCGTGAGTTTAAGACCATATTCACAAACTTTAAAATAAAAAAAAAGAAAAAGAAAAAAAATATATATATACATGTATTATCAGATGACCGGACGAATTGTAGCTTTTTGTCTTGTCAGACGTAATTTCAATGAAGAAATGAATTGATTAAACATATATTTTTTTTTTTTTCTTTTCTCAATAATTTTGTAGTTTTTAAACTTAATAGTGATTAAATTTGGATTTTAAAAATTGCCAGTTTTTAATTTTAATATTAAATTTTATCATATAAATTTATAATTATTAGTTAGTAAAAAAATTATTTTTAATATTACACGTATTTAAAGATCTAAATAGCTATAATAGCAGGATTTTGTTGTCAAGCTTTTGAATCTTTCTGTACTTCGTTTTTGATTGGTTATTCTAGCTTTTGTAACAATGTTCCCCCTAGTGTAGGATCGTTAATTAATCTGAAACTTTTAAAACCATTTATTTTATTTTCAACACCATCACTTGATAAGACACAGAGTGTGTTGAAACAAAATGGCTATTTTTGTAGTGATTTTATAACATACTTATGTTATAAATTTTTTTATAAAATAATTATATATATATATATATATATATATATATATATTTTATATATATATATATATAAAAGTGAACATTGAATTTATTCAGATTGTTTATATAAAAATATTGCCTAACTATATATATATATATATATATATAAGGTTGATATAGGTGAATAAAATTAAAAATAACTAAAAAATTTTTTTTTTTTTAGTAGAGTGAAAATTTTAAAAATATTTTTAAGAAAATTTCAAAATTATTTTATCCATAGATAAAATAAATTTTGAAATATCTTTAAAATGTTATTACATAATTTTAATTTTTAATAAATATTATCCATTTATTTATTCATTTTTTAAATATATATATTCATCTATACAAAAGATGATTTTTTACACACACACAAAATGAAAAAAATATAATTTATTATTTTAAAAATGGTCCTTGATGAAGCAAAATATTTTTAACTTTAAAATAAATGTTTTATTAATTTTTTAAAAAAATTTTTTAAATCTTTTTTCAAATGGAACATCGATTTTAAATTTAAATTTTAGCTTCTGTTTTGAAATATGGTAAATATATAAATAAATATATATATTTTAAAATAGAAATATAATTATAATCCTATTTTGTCTAAAATTTATAAATATATCAATAAATGTTTTTTTTTTTTTTGGTAAAAATAATGTTTTTACTAAGCATACCGGATTGTCAATGTTATATTCTTTCTTATTATTTTTTTCAAATGATTAAAAAGATCCCAAACTTGGTAAAAAAAAAAGTTTTATCTTCAAAATACTTGTTTTTGAGAGAAAAAACAAAATGGATCGCAAAGTACTTTTTTATTAACGCTGTTTGTTGTTATCCTTTTCAACACAAATTCGAATTTAGTTTAAAATTTCGTTTTTCTTGCATCAGGCCAAAAACAAAAAACTATTTCAATTTTTTTTTGTTTTGAAAAAACAAAACTCAAATAATTGTCAGATTTTAATGAAATTTTGAAGACTTAATCACAAATGAATGAAATTATTCTTGAAATATTTGTAATTATTTTTTTTGGAAAATTTGGATTTTTTTATATTTAAAAAAGATTCTGTTATCACCAGTAATCCATATATAATAATCAGTAACTCAGAGTGATCGCCCTTTGATACTTGTTTCCGTGTTTATCGCTAGGCGGCGCGACAGGTAAACGCATGCTTCCGGTTTCTTCATAGACTTCAGGTTAGTCGTTAGTGTCGTTTGTTTTTTTGTAACTGTCTACTAATGTCTATCATTCGCTGGATTTAGGATTTAATTTGGAGGGGGGATTTCTACGATTACGAATTGTATTTGGCGGGAATGAATTTAAAAGAATCTGCTTTTTCTTTATTATTAAGATTACAAATATATGTTCGTCGTCCACGAGGGTTGAAAAAACACTATAAATTGGGGGATCTGTTTTTTTTTTTATTTTATTGTAAACTTACCCCCTCCCCACGTACCGGCTTTTTAAAAAATGATTTTTTTTTCTTTAAATTTCTGATTTATCTATTTTTGTATAAATAATTAGTTGACTCGGAATAAAAAAAAAAAATAAGAAAAAAAAAAAAATTCTTCTAAAATCTTGCGGTTTTTACCGTTTGACGCTATTCATTCAAAAAATGTGGTAAAATTGCAGATTATAAACCATTAAATTCTTTTTTCTAAAAAAAGGCACCATTTTGGTAATGTGTATATATATATATATATATATATATATATATATATGTATATAAAAAATGTACATAAAATAGACAACACTTGTCTAATGAAACGTGTATGAATATATATATATATATATATATATATATAACCCTGAATATTCCAAAAACTTAACAGCATTAAAAATTTGCAGTAAAGCTACTAGTTTAGGTATCGACAATTTTAATTTGGTTTTTATTTTTTGTCTCTCCGGCTACGGCCCGGCCGACATTTGGTTTTTCTTAATAATAACATAAATATTTTGACTTTAAAAATATCTTGTATTCACATTTCTTTATTAAAAGAAAAAAAAAAAATTTTTTTCTTAATTTTTTTTTTATTGTTCAAAAGTAGTCCGAAATTCTTGTCATCCTTACGACCAAAAAAGAAGAAAAAGTACAAAGCACATGTACTGGATACTGTCACAAATTGAGAAGGTCTATATGAACATCATTTTCATGGAAGCCATCTGAAATAGAAAATTATATTATGCTGTGGCGACAAAACTTTCGGACCACCCTGTATACTTGAGATCATAAAACAAATTAAAAAACAGGTTGCTTTCACACTGATGTCATTTGAGGTAATTAGATTTCAAAAAAGGTACATTAATATCATTATTAGCCGGACCTTCCAATATGGTAACTTTTCCATTGTGCTTAATTTTATTTGATTAAATAAATGTTTACAAAGTTATTTTTTTTACGTCTCTAATATAGAAAGAAACAAAAGCTGAATATTATTCAAACATTTTGGATTTTATTTCTGTTCACATCTTTTTAAAATTCTTTTATTTGTCTGTGGTTCTACTTTTCTGTAGCTTTTGCCACTTAATTATTATTTAGGATTGCAACATTCTTTGCAAGGGTTGTCTCAGAAACTCATCCAAGAAGTTAGAGATTAAGGGGGGCTGAAGTATATGTTTTATGAATGAAAGCTGATCAAGGGTGGAACAATTTTTATTTTATTTTTATCCAATGAGATGAGTGGATATTCCAGCGAGTAAAATCTTTCATTTTTCCTTTTATTTTCTTGTTTTAATAACATATTGTTATTCTTTCTTAAAAACAGAATTCTATACTGAAAACGGCGGTGAAAAAAAAAAAGCGAATTCCCTGAAACCTGAAATTGAAATGGGATTAAGGGAAATTTGGAAGGGAAGATCGCTCCCTACTCTCTCTCTCATATATTTCTCTATATTTTAGGAACCTCCACAAAAAAGTGATAGCTAAGGTTTAAAATAAATTTTTTAAAATGAAAAATCTTTCTCGAAGATTTTATTTTAGTTTTAATTTCAAGTTCATCAAATATACTTTGCTTTGCTGTATTTCAAAAACTAATTTAAATTGACTGGAAGGGGGTTTTCTTTACTAAAATACTATCTGATTTGAAGTTTAAAATATTGCAAAAATTTTTTTTTTTTTTTAACCTGACAGTAGCTGTGTTTTGATGATGATAGATCTAATGTTTTTCTACAGAGATTTTATCTGTAAAACATAATGGAAAAAAATGGTGTGAAAGCTTCTTTTTATATAATTTTTAAGTTCTCAGTAAGTTTAAAAATCTAGGAAAATATTCTCTGTAAATGTAATCTAATGTTTTGTTGAATTTTAAAAATTATGGCTTTGAATTTGCTATAATTATTGCTCTTATTTTTTGATAATGTTGTGTACAATTGACTGTACTTAGAAAAATTGGCATGTTTATACAGATACAAATAAATTCAAATTTCTTTTAAAAGTTTGATTTTTATTAAAAAACCATTTATGATTCATAAATATAGTTTTCACTTAATATCATCTAAAAGGCTGAAATTAATATAGAATTTTAAAATATTTAAAACTTAATAAATTTTTCTAGTTAAAATTTAAAATATATATATATATATATATATATATATATATATATATTTATATTTATGTATATAAAAATAAATGTCTCAGTTTGTCAAAGCTAATTGATGTTACCTTCAGTATCCCAAAAAAATTGAAAAACATAGATAATTCTCTTGGAATATTTTATCCAAATGTAAAGTGGTTTTAAAATTAATTATTCATTAAATTATTTTTTCTTTTATTTGATCTGTATCCATATACTTATACCTTTAGCTGCTGTATCAAAAAAATGGGTTCAGGTCTGGGTATGGTTTTTTGAGAGGTTGGTGGTTGCTTCATTTTTTGTCTTTAAAATGCCAATCTAATGTTGTTTAAAAAAAATGGCAAAACAAAAAAATTGGCAATTCTTAAATAGGAATTGCTAAAAAAAAAGTTATAATCAGACAGCGGTCTTAGAGAAGATTTTCATTTTTCGTCATTTTATTAAATTTGCTGGTAAAATTTTGTTATTGTTTGTAAAGTTCAATTACTAAAAAATGACTAGTAATGCAGTTTATTTTTTTTTCCTTTACCAATGACCATCAAGTACAATTGTTTTACGTTTGCCATGTTCTTTGAAAATGCTTGTATTATTTCTACCCAGATTGGCATTTCCACCTCAATTCTGATTGTCAGCTGTTCATTTTCTGCCTTGGGAATGGTGTAAAATCATCTGTATATATTTTTTATATAAATATAAATTAATTTTATGATGCTATTCAGAAAACATGTCTAAGCAGAATTCATTTGTTTATGCTCTGCCCCTTCAGGATGTGAACATTAAAATCTCACTTCTTTAATTTTGTAAAAATAGCTACCTTTTTTTTCAACTTTACCAGATAATTTCAGATTTCACCATACATTTTGTGACAAATAATTAGATGAATTTTTCAGAATTTGAAACGAGTGAACATCTCTTGCACTGTTTTTTGATGATTTTAAATAAATATGGCCGCTATTGAAGATCTTTATTTTTTATGACACTATATGGCGTCCAAAACGAGATAATATTTGCACAATGGAATAGCATAAAAATTTACTCAAGCAGTTCCTTCCTATTTTCTATTCATTTTTCAACATGCCACATATATAGCTGATATATATTGATATTAGAGGAAATCGGAAATTAAACTTAAAGTCTGTTTAATTTGTTTGCCCAGTGTAAAATGTTAATTTTAGGAGGCATAAATCCATTTTTTGAGGTAAATATAAGAAGAGAAAATTTCCCTATAAATAAATAATTGCACTGTGAAGAGATTGTCCAACATTCACTGTCATGTAGGAAGATTGGTATTACATATCGTTGCTAGCAAAAATAAGATCATTATTATATTATAATGAAACTTTCAGGACTTATTCAGAAATTTAATGAAACTATTTTTTGAATGATCTTTTTTTCTTTTTGTTAGAAAATCTTTGTAAAAAAAATTTTCATTTCTATTTACATCTGTTACACACCACACATTTAATTTTATGAAATTTTGAGAAATTCTTTTTTTTAGCTCTTAATGTTTACATTAATTATAAGGATAAGTCCTTGGAGAATTTAAATTTGTGGTCTATTCCTTGCGTTCTCACCATCCTTTTGTAGAACTACATTGCTGTTGCCTCTTGTCTCCTAAAATCCATGAAGAGATTGTTAAATTCGTTTCAGATATAGGAAGATTGATATTACATTTTTTATTATCCATCTTTTGCAGCTTTAGTAAAAGTTTCCTGTTTCTTGCTTAGCTTTTAGAATCTGATCTTTTTCTATTCCAATATGCATAGTGTCCTGGGTATCACGATAATCTACATCCGCGTCCTGGGTAAGATGATAAACTACGTCCAGCAGCAAGGCCTCTGATCAGGAGGTTTTGAGGAATACTTTCATTTTCTTAATTGCTGGTGTTCCCAGGTCCACCCTGACTTAGGATGGTAGCACCTGTTAGGGTCCCAGCTATGGGCAAATAGTTAACCCCAAAACTGGGGTATAAACACTGTGAAAGCATAAAAATAGGTTTTAATACCAGAAATACTTTGTAAAAAAAATTATTACCAGCAATACAGTTTTGAAGGGAAAATATTATCAGAAATAGATTTTTGACAAAACAAAATATTACCAGCAATAAAAGATCTTGTTGGCATTAAATAACCCATTGAGGTTGATATACCATAAAACAAACCAAACAAATATGCATCTGGATTTTGGTGTCACATTTTCCATTCTCAGTCAAAAGACTTTTCAGATATTTAAACTTCTTGTTTGATTTTGACACCAGTTCATAGTTTATATCCATTCTGCCTTCTTTCAGTTGATAGTCCTTTCTTCCTGCTCTCCTTTACTACCTTTTCTGGGAGGTCCTGTGTTTGCCATCAACCCAGTGTCATCTTCATATCTTGTATCCTTAGGATAACCTCCCTGTAGAGGTTAAATATTGATATTTGCTTGTCTTTTGCCACTTTCTATTTTTGTGTACCTATTTTAAGTGTCTGTATCGCTCCTAAGTTTTAGTTTATTCTAACATCCTTCTCAAATAAACTTAGTTTTCTTAACGGTTTGAATAGATCTTTGTACTGTACCTTATAAAATGCTTTTGCATAATCTATAAAACATAAGTGTACATTCTTGTGTATTTATATTGATCTCTTCAATATTGTTCTGATCTTAAATATGACCTTTCTTATTTCAGTGCTCTTTGGATTATTAGCTTGCTTCTGTGGCTCATTGAGCCGATTATCTGCTGGAACTTGCATTCATTTTTCACCTGGTTTCTTAATCTTATTACGAGAAAATTGATCTCTCCTATCAAATTCCTAATTAAGTTCTTTTTTTTGTATTGTATCAGGATGTGGGCAATCCTGCATCTCGACAATTGCCAAGTCTTTGTAACTCTAATCTACCTTTCAATACTTGTTTTGTCATCAATTTACACAAGTTTGTTCGATACACTACTCATTGTTTCCATCTGTACCTCTTGCTTTTAATATTGTTTGAAGGTCAGAGGTGAAATCTCATTATTTCTCAAATTAATCAGACTAGTATCCTCATCTTTGTTGTTTTGACCACTGTTTCACAAGGATTGTGTCTTTGATTTTCGTATATTGAAACTGAGAGCAGTCAGAAAAAACTAACAGGGCATAAAGCAATTCAAGAATGTCAAAGGATATTATTAAAAAATCCAAAATTTACAATAATTGCTGCTGCTGAAAAAAAACGTGTGAAATTTTTTTTCCCTTATTTCAGAAATGACGATGGCAGTAGAAGATTCAAAGTTTTTTATTCATGAAGGACCACGCAAAGATGTCACCTACCCATATAAAGTTCTTTATTGTGGAGGTAAAGTTTTGTTTAACTTATATATATAAGACCAACATTTTTGTCATCCTAAACAAATTGGATTACAACAAAAAACTTGACCACATACTCCATGATCACATAAAGTTTCAAAAACTTAACAAGAACCTGACCAACCAACTAAAATCAAAGCTTAATAAACTCATTAATGCTAATAATGCTGAACAGAACTCTTTAAAACTCCCTAAAATTGTTGGTGATTATAAACCTGGTTACATATACAGCACTATAAAAACACATAAACCTAACTATCCTCTCTGTCCTATCATATTGCAAATTCAAACTCCTGTATATCATCTAACAAAATACATCAACCAACTCATTACTTCCTACCTTCCTAGTAAATATAGTGTTATGTCAACATTAGAAGTAATCCAAATCCTAAAAAGTGAAAAACCCGACAATGAAATCATGGCTTCACTTGATGTTGAAAACTTATTTACCAATGTCACTGTTAGTGAAACTATTGACATAATTATAAGAAATATATACAGTAACTCATATTTACCCCCACTTAAAATTAATCCTAATATATTACGGAAACTACTATTAGCTTGTACTACTGAAGTCCCTTTCTTCATATATAATAATATATATATATATATATATATATGGTGTATATATACAACATGATGGGTTCAGTACTGGGTCTGACATTTAGCAATTTCTACATGTCGAACATCGAAAATAAGATATTTACAGATTTTAAAAAAAAACATCCATCTACCTAAGATATGTTGATGATATTCTTATGTTAGTTAAAAATACAGATGAAATACTTCAACTTCAAAAACGTTTCCAAAATAATTCTGTCCTTAAATTCACATATGAACTCAATACTAATAATAAAATTCCCTTCCTTGACATATTGATAAACACAAATAATAACAAATTTACTATTTTGCCATACAAAAAGCCTACCAGCATAAATTCATGTACACTTAACTACAAGAGTGAATGCCCATATTACTACAAAATAGCAATTATGAAAAATCTAATACATTGTGCAGAGACTAATTCATTCACAAAACAGATTTTTTTTACAGTGAACTAAAGAATATAAAACAGACACTTATTAATAATAGCTTTCCAAACTATATAGTTGATGAACAAATAAGATGATTTTTTTAGAAATCTCAATACTAATGATGCTTGACACTACATTTGAATGAAAACTCTAAACATTGTTAGGCATTTAAAAACAACATGCATATATATATTATAAACAATTCCGTAAAATACTTGTTTTAAAAACACAATTATACTTAAACTTGAAAAAATAATAAATAAAAACTAAAAAAAAACACATATAGCTATTTAAATCAAACAGTTGAAACTTAATTTAAACAAAATAAACTATTTTAAGTCCACAAATATTTGCAAATGCCTATAATTATAAACAGAAGCATTGGTTTATACCAACGGCTTCCCATACTTAATAAATTCAAATTATTCTCATTGGTCATGTTAATGTCATGAGCTACGACGCTTTTCGATTTTTTTAAGCATCTTTTATATGCACATGTTTATTTTTATTCTTTTAAAATCATCCATGTAAACAGAAACGGGCTATCATCACTGTCTTGTCCGTGTAATGCTTAATATATTGTACATGAAATCTTTGATAATGGCTTATAAATGCTTGAAAACTTAGATTGAATTAAAAAATATGTATCAGTATTGTAATTTTCTTTACTTGTCAAATGATATTTTAAATGTAAGAGAAATGTAAAAATTGTTTATTTTTTAGCTTCCTTTTTTTTTTTTTTTTTTTTATTTAAAAAATTGTTAAAGGGAAAAAATTTTGGGTAATGCATTTTTTAAACTTTTTTATTATATATATACCACCATAATATATATATCTAGATGTAAAAGTAAAAAAATAAATGAAATTAATGGAAACATTGATAATAAAAAATTGAAAAGGCCAATGTTGTAATTATATCAACTAGAACATTTGAATGTGCTGTCTGAAAGCTTTAAAAAAAAAAAAAATTCCCATAACATACTAAAAATCTCCACATTCGGTTAGAATTAAGATGAAAAACATTTGGACAATTTTCACACATTACATTCAGAAAAGAAAAAAAACTTATGCGAACACAAGTTTTTTATTTAAAAAAAAAGTCTGAAAATATTCTTTTTGAAATAACCACTAATATTTTCATGACTAAATTCGACTCAAAGAAAAACTGTTTAAGTTGCCAATTTTTATATTTCCATAAAGATTAATCAGCAACACATCTCTACTGAAAGAAAAAAAGTTTTACAAAGATTCCAACACAAAACACATTAAAAAAAACATCCTTGAATTTTTTGCCAAAAAAAAAAAGTTTTTTGCTATATAAACAGACTTGATGTTTATTTTATGTTTATTTGAAAAAAAATTTGAATTTGTAGAGGTAAAAATTTTGTAAATGTTTGATAAATGAAATAATTATAGTTTTATTTTATATTGATATATATTATAATGAGTAAATTTTTTTTTTCAAATTTACCAAAAAAAAAAAGTTTTATAAAAAATGTTTTTTTAAATAAATGATAAATTGATTTAAAAGAACTCTTAAAAAAAATTTGAAAAAAATAATTGAAGAATAAAAATATTTTTAAAAAAATTGAAGAATAAATATATTTGCAAAAAATTGAAGAAAAATTCCCTAATAATTGAAGAAAAAAATTTAAAAAAATAATTATAGAATTAAATAAATTTAAAAAATAATTTAGAAATAATATATTTAAAAAATAATTGAAAATAAATATATTTAAAAAATAATTGAAATTAAATATATTTTTAAAAAAATTTAAGATAAATAATTAAAAAAATAATTAAAATATTTTCAAAAAATAATTGAAGAATAAATATATTTTTCAAAATATTTGAAAATTGTATTTAAAAAAATAATTGAAAATAAATATTTTAAAAAATTTGAAGAATAAATATTGAATAATTGAATTAATCCTAAAAAAATAATTGAAAATAAATATTTTATTGAATTGAAGAATAAATATATTTTTTTCTGCTAATTGAAGAATAAATATATTTAAAAAAAATAATTGAAGAATAAATATATTTAAAAAATAATTGAAGAATAAATATATTTTAAAAAATATTGAAATAAATATTTTAAAAAAATTGAAGAATAAATATATTTAAAAAAAATTGAAGAATAAATATTTTAAAAAAATTTGAAGAATAAATATATTTAAAAAAAATTGATTGCGATAAATATTTTAAAAAATTTTTGAAGATATTTTTTAAAATATATGAATATAAATTTATTTAAAAATATATTTATAATAAATATATATTTAAAAATAATTAAAGAATAAATATTTAAAAAAAATTGAAGAATAAATATATTTAAAAAAATAATTGAAGAATAAATATATTTAAAAAATAATTAAAGAATAAATATTTTTTTTTTTTTTAATTGAAGAATAAATAATTTAAAAATAATTGAAGAATAAATTTTTAAAAAATAAAGATGAATAAATTATTTAAAATTGGATTGAGTAATAAATTTATTTAAAATATTTGAAGAATAAATATATTTAAAAAAATAATTGAAGAATATTCAAAAAAATTTAATTTCCTAATTAATATATTTAAAAAAAAAAAGAATAAATATATTCCAAAAAATATTGCTACTGAAATAAATTTTTATGAATAATATATATATATATATATATATAAATGAAAATGGTATATTGTTTTTTTTTTAAATTATTTTGAAAATATACTCATAAAGAAAAAAAATTTCAAAAAAACATAAATATTAAAAAAAAAATTTAATATTTAAAATAAAATAATTAAAAATTAAAAAAAAAATTCATCAAAAAAAATATTGATATTTTACAATTTTCTAAAAAATAATTTAAGAAATTTTTGAATTTAAGAATTCTCCAGAGATGGTTTGTTTGACAAACACAGAAAGATATAACAAATAAAATATAAATATATATATTAATAGAAAAATTTATTTGCAAAAAAACTACACAAAATTTTTTGTCTAGCTAAATAACGATTTAAAAAGTAAAATTTAAAAAAAAAATTTAAATTACCCAGAAGTTTTGGGTATTATTTTTACAAATTTGAAGAACCAAAATTTATGTCTAAAAATTTGTTCAACTATTTTTCTTATAATACTATAAAAGAAATTTCTTTAAAGGAGAGAGATTTAATTTGAACCGTTTATTTCACACATATACACTATCCATAGATAAATTTTGTAGCATGATGGAAGTCTTTACAATTTATTTAAACCATGAAAAAAGAAATAAGATAGACTTTGCTATCAATGATAAGCCCAAACTGATATAACAATATAATCAGATTAGATAAAGCATGACAATTTTTTAACATTTCATTTCAAATCTCATGATATATAATTTAAAAATTTTAAATATACAACTTAAAGAGACATTTTTTTATTTTGTAAAAGAAAAAATAAATCTTTGGTCATTTCTTTCAACAGGTGTTTAATTTGTTTACTTTTACCAAAATCTACCGTTAATCATTAATAGTTATTTTTTTTTTTTTTTTTTTTTTAACCCTAACCTAGCCCTAACCTAAAAAAGATAAAGATATTAGTCTATTATATTTTAGAAATATTTTTTTTTTTTTATATAAACCCCTGATAACACGGTAATGAGTTCATGTTTGAATTTCATGAAATCCATCTTTTTATATTTATTTATTTTATTTTTATTATTTTTTATAGAATTACATTATGTACAATGCCAGTTGAGGTGAGTACAAAACATTGGTTATCTCCCTTACCTTCTTCCCTACTTGCATCTTCAAACTTTAAAAAGTACAATTTTTTTTTTTTTTTTTTTTTTTTTTTAAATTAAAATTATAATTTTGACCATCCAATGAGAAACCTCAATTTAAAAACAAAAAAATTTATGTTTAATCAATGAAATGAAGTTGTTACACTCTTGTTTAGAATGAAGAGCAACCAACATGTACAAGATGCCAA